CCCACAAGACAAGAGGGTGACAACTTTCTCTTTTGGATGAACTCTAACTTTTAAATGCAACACAAACACTTGGAAAAAAAAAAAGTTGGTCAACTTGTCATTCATGCAGTGGCAAGTAGCTTAGCACTTCCCTTGTTTATGCTAGTAAACATGTTCTTGAATATACAGTTATGTTGGTTGATTTTTGGTTTGGATGTTGGTCTTATCAGCAGGTGGAACAGAGAAAAAACACTGTTGGTCTCCCTAGAGGTCCACGACCTGGCCCTTCTAACAAGGTAGTCACCAGTGACTCTACTTGGCAATCATGGGAAAGTGTCACCCTTTTCTGGGAAAACCAAAATGAAACTCAGGAAGGTCACAGTCTAGGTTAAGTTGAATATACACTACCATTCAAAAGTTTGGGTTCATTAAATAGATGTTTTTTTTTTAAAAGAAATTAATATTTTCAGTCAGCAGGAACACATTAAATTGATCCAAAGTAACATTAAAAAGTGTTTGTTTCCACAACAAATATTTAGCAGCACAACATTGATAATAAATGTTTCTTGGGCACCAAATCAGTACATTAGAATGAGTTCTGAAAGATCATGTGACACTGAAGAGTGGAGTAATGGCTGCTGAAAATTCAGCTTTGCATCACAGGAATAAATTAAAATACATTTTAAAATATATCAATGTAGAAAACAGTATTTTTAAATTGAATAAGATTTCACAGTATTGCTGTTTGTGTTTTTACTGTATTTTTGATCAAATAAATGCAGCCTTGGTGAACGTAAGAGATTTCTTTCAAAAACATTGATAAATTGTACCAACTTCAAACATTCGAACTGTGTATCATAGAGTTTAATGTTCAGCAAAGTATGACTGTGGAGGATTAGGTCATCTACTTATCTAGGAAAGTATGCAAAAGCTAGTTAAGGATTGGTGATCAAAGGGTGGATTTTTCCTGTTGGTATAGATTGAATAGAATTTTTTTTTTGTATAAAATATTAAACCAAACTCAATTTCCAACTCTTCTTATTTCTAACTACCATATTTTATTGTAAGAATTTTGATGAAGTTGTTGAAGTTAGTCAGTGACTGAGGAATAGATTTCTTTTCTCTCATACTTTCCTCTATGCTTTGCTTATCTGCTACTTTTCTCTTCTTCCACGCGTTTATGTATTTCCTTCTGCCTGCTCTCCAGTATGTTTTGGTCTACAATGGTTTCAGCTTGCACCCAGATGACGTGCTCTTCTGGCAGCTCCCGGAGCAGTTCAAAGGGGTTAAGGTAAACACATGGATGGCTTCAGGCCCGCCTACCGCTGATCCCTCAGGTTGTCTGATCCACATTAGACATTACTGAATCACTACATGAGGCAAAGGTGGGATCGATGGGCGAGTCAAAACATCACTTATTAATCTAAAGCAACCAACCTGGTGTATCTAATCACGTCATGTCTAGAGTGTTTATTACTGTGGTGCTGACAGTAAGAAGTGCTGCTGTGGAATTAAGGGTAGAGGTTCATATCTGAGATGCTTACTTGTTTTATTGATGTTTTGCTAACCTTTGAGTAACTTTTTTCTGTTGTAAATGTTGCCTTGGTTTAAAAAGGAAAAAAAAGAAAATATGAATATTGCTAATCATTTTGAATGTGTCATGATATGACAAGTATTTTGCTGTATCCGTGCTGAATGTGAAACTGCTATGTGAAATGACACTCTTTTAGCCTTTCAGAATATATTTAATGTTTAATGTGCAGCTATGCACAGCAGGATTTTAGACAAATGAGATTTTACTTGTCCTGTCACTTGTTGCATTTGTGGCTGGTTAGGGCATATTTTGTTTTATTTTATTTTATTTATATACGGTTTTATGTTATCTTTGATCAACCACATAATGAAACAAAGTAAAAAATAAAACCATTATGAATAACAATCTGACGATTAGTTTATTTTATTTTTTTACATTTTATTTCTCTTTGAGAATAAGAAAAAAAACAGCAGCAGTAGCTTTATTTAATTGTCATTTTAGGCAGGTTTTGCATTTGGAGTTATGATTCATATAAAAATGTCAAACATTCCCATGCTGTACTTTATATCAATGCTTTTTTGATTAGAAGCTAACAATAATTGTGTGTTTTTGGTTATGTAGGTTGGTGCATATGGTGGAAAGCTGAAATACACCATCTCCTATGTACCAGGACCCCGGGGTTCTCCAATAGAAGATGCTGATGTTCAGATTATTGTAAGTATGATAGCAGATTTTACGTGCATGTTATAGGCTTTCTTTTAAGGTTTGACCCCTGTTGGTCATCACTATTTCTACAGGGTAATGACATCACGCTGGTGGCACGGCAACCATGGAGAAGGGGGCATGGAGCCAGAGAGTCACAGGACTTTGAGATTGTTTTCAGAGAGGTGAGAACCCATTCATCCATACTGTCATTCATATTGAAGAAAGATATGCGGTTTAGCATGACATGGATAATTTCTTGTATGTAGGAACACTGGCAGCGTCCCGATGGCATGCCGGCAACCCGGGAACACCTGATGATGGTGCTCGCGGACCTCGATGACATCTTGATCCGTGCCTCGCATCACTCAGAGATGCGCTCATCCAGTATCTCAGGGGTCCACATGGATATCGCTGTGCCGGAGTACACTGGTCTGGCCCAGGCTTTGGAGGTGGAGCAGTGCCAGTGTCCTCCTGGTTACCATGGTCTGTCCTGCCAGGTAGGAACAATGCAGCTTTGCTCTGTGACCCACTAGATGAATTGTAAAGGCTTGCATCCATGCAAGTGATGGTGATGACAGTATTACTCAGTCTAGACTTCTGTTCGTTGTCTCTGTGTTCTGTAGGACTGCTCTCCTGGATACACTCGCACAGGAGGGGGCTTGTACCTTGGCCACTGTGAGCTGTGTGAATGTAACGGCCACACGGACTCCTGTCACCCAGAGACTGGCATCTGCACGGTATGAAGCTTTACCAGCGGTTCTTCAACAAAAGTGTGTCCCAGAATGTTATAGATAGTTCACCCAAAAATGAAAATTCTGTCATTAATTACTCACCCTCATGTCGTTCCAAACCTGTAAGACCTTTGTTTCACCTGCGGAACACAAATTAAGATATTTTTGATGAAATCCAAGAGCTTTTTGACCCTGCATAGACAGCAATGGAACTGACATGTTCAAGGCCCAGAAACGTAGTAAGGACCTCATTTAAATAGTCCAAGTGACATCAATGGTTCAACCGTCATTTTATGAAGCTACGAGAATACATTTTGTGTGCAAAGAAAACAAAAATAAAAAACTATCCCTTTAAGGGATGAATGCAGTCAAATTTAAATAGTGTTGCTCTCCTTTTAACAGCTTGTCAACTTGAACAGTTCAGTATACCAAATATGTCTTTATATAATACAGTAATACAAAATCTAATACAGTAAAACAATTTAATATTTAAATGATCTAAAATTGCATAAATGAATGAATGAATAAATTATATTTAATCAAAATAGTTCAATTGCGTCCAAAAAAAGTGTATCTAAAAAGTGTGATATACTATACATTTTAAAATAATATTAATCGCATCATAACTAGATAAATAAACAAATTAACATTCATTTTACTCACCCTCTTAAGTTGAGCAAATATGTAAACAAAATAATATAATTACATTGCACTACTTACTATTATAATAACAATGAATTATGCATAATTACATGCAAGTTACCCATTAGCCAAACCCTAATCCGAACCCTAAACATATAGTAAGTGCATGTAGTTAATTAATATTTCTCAGTACTTATATGTATAATTACACTATATATGTATAATTAGGACACCTTAATAAAGTTAAACCAAAAGATGTATTTTATAGATTGAATACATATTATAAACTAACAAAAATCAATCAATATATAAATATATATTGTCTTTACTCCCCCTCATAAAAGTAGTCCATACCACATGTGATATCTTTTTGATCCGTAGAACTGCCAACACAACACCAAGGGTGAGCTCTGTGAACAGTGTGCTGACGGCTTCTTTGGAGATCCAACTGCTGGAACCCCTGAGGACTGCCAAGCATGTGCCTGCCCCGGCACTGACCCTGACAACCAGTTAGTCTTAACATATACATCTGTAAACTTTACCTGACCCTGCCAGCTCCTGTTTTCACAATATCTGCCTCATTTGCAGGAAGGATTTTAATAGTCATTTTATGTGTAGGTTCTCTCGTACCTGTGAAAGTCTGGGTAACGGAGACTACCAGTGCACTGCCTGTCAGCCCGGCTACACTGGCCAGTATTGTGAACAGTATGCTCACGCTTCCTGTACTGTTACAATGGAATTCAGTTGTTTAGATGCTATTATTTTCATCACAATTTTTAATGTGACACACTTCTTTCTTCATAGCTGTGCGCCTGGTTATGTTGGAAATCCACAAGCAAGAATCCCCTGCCGTAGTGGTATCTGTTCATTCACTATTACTTTTAATGACCCCATGAAATCAAAAATGGAGGTTTGTGATTTTCAGTCCAAGTCTAGCATCTATTACACTAGTGAACTCATAAAAGTTGACTAAATTATGCATATGAACACACATATACTCACAATACCACTTTGGAAAGCAGTAGCAAATTATGACTAATTGGCAGTTTTAAAAAAGGGGGATGAGCCTTTTCTGCCCTAACTTCCTGTTTCAATTGGTGTTACATCAACACAGAAATAAAAAAATCTTTAATTGATTTCATGGGGCACATTTATGGGCCTGTGCATTTGTAAAACAGCTTTTCTATCGGACAGATTCTAATACAATGTGTTTGTGTGTCATCAGTTGCTGCGTCTCTAGTGGTGAAGGTGTATCCAGAAAGGGTTCAGGTGGCGCAGGGAATCCCAGTCACTCTCAGGTGCCAGGTGTCTGGATATCCACCACACTATTTCCGCTGGTCCCGTGAGGATGGACGCCCAATCTCCAGCACAGCAGAGAGACGCAGACAAGGTACTGCCCACATTCCTACAAGCATGTTCAGATGACTAGTACAGGATCTCTTAAAACGTCACAAATGAATCCTCTAGAGAAACCAAGCATCAAAAATAGAATCAAATGCTCTGTTTCATATTGCATATATCCTTTGTGGATAAGCAAGCACCTTAATACATTGCGACAAAGCCCAAGTTAAAAAATAGAGTAAAAACTGAGATATTAACCTTTTCATTCCATGTCGCAGGAGAGGAGTTGCATTTCCCCAGTGTGCAGCCTAGTGATGCTGGCATTTACATCTGCACCTGCCGAGACCAACGCAGCTCCAATAGAAGCAAAGCAGAGATTGTTGTTACAAGTAAGGCATTTTTTATCACCATAAAAAACACAATATGCACGTTATTCTAGTCTTTTACTTAACACTGATTTAATGTATGACTGCACAAAATTAATTTTACAATTAGTTTTTAAAGGTTGCTTTTGTTTTACCCTCAAGTTGCATTTACAGTAGAACAAAAATCTGGTTGGGATTGAACATAGTTGTAAATTTGGATAATGTGAGGTGTTTAAGTATGTAGACATTTGATGAAACGAGTATAAATTTGATGATATCAAGTCTTTTAGTGTTCTCAAATTTATTTTATTGTTTTATATTGGTAATGTTTATATTTTATTTTTATTATATTTTATATTATTTAAATGTATTCATATTTATTCAATTTGCCTTTTTTTGGGGACACATTGGTCAAGGTACAAAAACATTTTTCTTTCTTGATTTCCCACACCAGCCTTACCATCCAAACCGATTGAGGTCTTTATTGAGGAGCCCAAACGACAGAGTATAAATGTGGGATCTACAGTGAGCTTCATCTGCACAGCCAAAAGCAAGGTATGAATCATCCACGCAGACATCTATCACAGACATAATCTTAGCCTCCCTGACTGCCAAAACAGATGGGACAGAGAGAGAGAGAGAGCAGGATTTGGCTGTGTGTATGAATGACTGTAAATGAAAATATTTGAGGACATGTGCTTCTCTCGTAGCTGCCAGCGTACACCCTGGTTTGGACCCGCAATGGCATCGGCAAGCTGCCTAACCGGGCCATGGATTTCAATGGAATCCTGACCATTCAGAACGTGCAGCCTGAGGACGCAGGCATCTATGTTTGCACAGGCTCCAATATGCTTGGCATGGATGAGGGCACAGCCAGACTCCATGTCCCAGGTTTGTGATTGGCACCACATCTCCTCTAAACCTCCCTGCCTTTTAGTTTTTCTAAAGTTTTCTAAGTTGCACGCCTCTTTGCTTTCCTTCATTGCCCCATTTTTGTGCATTGTGTTGTTTGTGCAAAATTCTGCTTTGTCTTATGGACAACAGCATGGCTAACTCTTCTTTTTGTGTTTAAATTATTGCATTAATCAAAAATCGTGCTTTTTGATTACTTGAGTTTTTTTTCCCCACTTACTCAAATTTAAAAGGCTTCTCATGTTGCCAGTGTAAAATCTTTACGCCAGACAAATTGATACAGCTTGTGAATGAATAGCAAAACTCAGATATATTACATTTTGTACTCAATAACTAAATCTCAGAAAATGCGTTTTCAATCAAGTCTAATCCAGCACCTGAAATAATTTGTTTTTCTTGATACAAATTTAATGATCATTTATTTTCATACTCCCAAATGGTGTTGCAAGCTAAAATCTTGAGCAAAAAGATGAAGCATTTTTGGGTCATAAATATTGGAAACTTAGATGATGTTCATTTTGTTAAGTGACTCGCATATTAAAGCAGGTGTACAAAACAGACTCCCATAAAGACTGACAGGAATTTAGTCATATTAAACGTTTGATATAAACGTTTTCTCAATAACAGCTTTTAGTTCAGAATATTATGCAATTGCACAATGAAACATGAGCACAACAAATTTTGTGCAAATCGTTCATAAAATACATTTTTATGTAAATCGTTGTATTCAGTTCAGTGAAAGATTTTAGGAGTGATTTACACAGAAATTGTAATTTGCATACTGACCTTCTTCATGAAACATGAGCAAACATTTCTGTGCAAGTCTTTTGTAAAATATTTTACACAAATCGTCACATTGCATTAAATATAAAAATGGATTCATATATTATTTGCAAAAAGATTTGTTCTGCTTGTGTTTAATGGAAAAGGCCTAGTCAGTTTACTAACCTCCAGACTAATATGCATTACATTCATGCATACTGTTCTTAGTAGCGGTCAGTGAAATCAGCTGCGGGTGTCATTGGGTGTTGTCATGGTGGTGGTTCTGTGTCAGTCTTCTTACTAGTTGGGGGTTTGTGTCTTAATTTCCGGGCATGTTTACTGTCATTTCCCTCCTGCGGTGGTCTTTTGGGGATAGGTGGTTTATAAGGTAGGGAGGTGTCATAAATACTGGGACTCGTCAGCCAGAAGTTCTGCAGGCACAATCCCGTTCCTGACTCCAAGATGTGATTCCACCTCTATTTTGTCATGGAAATGTTCTTCAGTCTTGTATTTGAAAATGGTGCTATTAATAGTGCAGTAGCTGGAATGTTGACATTTTCCATGAGTGTCATATTTTCCATTTCAAATAGTTTTTTTTTTTTCTTCTCTCTTTTTGGTCATCTAAATGGATTGGAAACTGCCAATGGTTTTGGCAGTGTGAATATATATACATTTTTTTATTATATATTTTATGTTGCGGCATTTCAAATGCAACCATTTCTTAACTGGTTTTGTAAACTAAATTATATTTAGTAGTATTTAGAGACATTTCATAGATAATGCCTTCCAAATGTTACCAACAGTGATGTGTACTGTAGTTATTGCTTAGAACTTAATTCCATATTTATTTTGACTGGTTTGACAAACTGCTGTAAAAACAAAAACTTTGGTTTACATTTACAAACACAGCGAGTAATATAATGGAAATTATGTTTATGTTGACTTTAAGGTTTTATGTGAATGAATTATAACAGATTTCAAAAATTTTCATGCATTTGTGTTTTTGCATTGTTTTTGTTGTTATTCATTATGTATGTTTTAAACTTGAATGGTGCTTTATCTTTTACCTTTTTTGATTTTCTTTTTAGTTAAGCATGTAGGTATATTCAGTTATTTCAATAATTAAAACAATATTTAATTTTGCACATTTTGAAATGGTGCTGAATCTTAAACTGTTTTTCGTTTTTACATTATGATTTCATTGTATTTGATTTGTCTAAACTGTGAGATGTATGTACAAATTACTCTTTAAATGGTGAACATATTAAAAGAAAAACAGGTAAAACACTATCGCTCCATGGAATGAAAGTGAAAGTGAAATCCTAGGATAGACATTTATCAATCACAAGCTGTATTCAAGGCAAATACATTATGAATGTTTATATCGAGGTAAAGCTTTTACATATGTTGTGTTCTGATACTAACCTGCATGCTTTGATTTCATCTGAGTGCTGTTTCCTCCACTCTTTTTTTTAATTACACCGACAGTGTTCTTACCTCACACTCATTTTGAAATGTCTTCTAAATGTGCATTGATTTTTTCACTAGGAAAACTCAATGCCCTCTTTGATTCTCAGTGGGGCAAACTAATGCTTGCCATTTTACAGCATCTATTCTTCATGTACTTTTCCACCATTGTCTATAGTCTCACATGACAGGTACTGTAAATCAATGATACTGGAGCATGATGGTGTAATTGGGAAGAACTTAATTTACCTTACTAAAAAGCCAATGAGAAGCTTCCTTGTACAAATAGATAAAAGGTAAAAAGTTAAAAAGAAATCATATCTGTATCATATCATATTTGAGACTTTTTATATTTTACATTTTGAAATGTGATTTGAAATTTGACATGTACTTAGTAAATGAATGATATCAACCTCAGGCATTTTGAGAGATATTTGCAGCCATCTGTTAAAACATGATTTACTTTCATGGAAATATGAGATGTAAGCTTGCTGAAACTTACCTAGAGATAATTTAGTCCCCACCTATTAAAGTATTATTTCATGGCAGAAGAAATGCAAGTCATTGCACACAAGTTCTGGAGCTCAAAATTCTTGAAGTCTCTGAGTTGAGTGGCATATGATTTAAATCACATTGAAATGCTTGGAGGCACCCGTGCGCCACTCTCACTGAACTTTCTGGAGACTCACTTGACAGTATCTGCCTGTCCATCATTCACAGAGGCTTCTCAGTCACAGATGTTTTACACAGCCTATGAGATGTTTGAAGGACATAGAAAGCGTAAGTCCACATGGTTTTTTCCCTCCATACCTGGAAGGACCCGTTTCTTTCACGCATGCAACCTTCACGCCCTGCATGCTTTTACCATCTCAAGTAGTGCCCAGGTACAACCAAACTACGAGCACAGTGCTAATTTCACCAAAAAAAACTTTGTAACCACCACAGTTTTATAGATATTATTTATTTTTGTTAATCCTGTTTATTACCATGTTTTGCTCACTTGTTGTACATGTGGAGCATTACTTGATCTGGTTAAGCTCTCATGGCTCATATGGATCCATTGAAACAGTAAAGCTGCATGCTTGCACACATTGGGGACTTCTCTCTGTTGCTGAAGTGTGTCTTGTATGATTCTTATTTTATTACTAAATGGTCTGTAACACAGATATATCTTCTTGTTGTTATATGTGACCAAACCACCAAACATCACACTTGTTATCTAACAGAGAGGGGTCCCCCGCACATTTCATTAGCCCAGTATCATGCTTTTGATATGCAAGACTATGTTGAGGTATATCAGATATCAAATAACATGCATTGTTTTTCAAAGATCATACTGTCTCATTTATAATGGTCATCACTCACGCGTGCATGTCCAGTCCACTTATCTTGGCTCTCTCAAATTTTACTTTAATATGAATTTACAAGGTTTATGGTGATCGATGGATAGGTAGATAAATAGATGGTTAGATAGCACATGGGTGAGTAGATAGATTGGTAGAGAAATGGTAGATAGGGTACAAGTGGGTGGATATATGGATAGAGTAGGTGAATAGGGTGGATAGATAAACAGATGGGTTTATGTATAGACAGAAATTTGTGAGGGTAGAAAGATAAGTTGATGAATAGGTGACTAAAGGTGTGGATCGTTGAGGGGGTGCATAGATGTATGGACAGATAGATGGGTGGGTAGGTAGATGGATTGAGTAGATTGATAGGGTTGGTTAGATTAATTGAAAAATAGATGGGTGTATAGATGTGTAGATAATAAGTGGGTAGGTAGATGAGTAGATGGTTGGGTGGGTAGATTAGATGGATAAATTAGTAAATTGGGTAGAAGGATGAGTTGAAAAAATAGATGGTTGGGTCGACAGATGTGTTGACAGAGATGCATGGGTAGACAGATGGTTGGGTGGATTGACCGATATGGAGACATAGATGGGTGATTATATAGATGTATATAGATGAAAGTGGGTGGGTAGGTGGATGAGGTGAAAGATTGTTAGATAGACAGCTAGATGGTTAGGTGGATAGATGTGGAGATGTATAGACAGAAGGGTGGGTAGATAGACATGAGTAGACGGAAAATATATGTTAAATAAATAGATGGTTGGGTAGATGAATAAGATGGAGTAGGTAGACAAATGGATAGCTGAGTAGGAAGATACAGAGATGGGTTGGTAGAGGGATAAACGAGTAGACTGGTAGGATTGGGTAGATAGATGAGTTGAAAAATGGGGGAGTAGGCAATTTTGTGGTTGGGTTGCTAGATGTGTAGCCAGCTAGATGGTTGGGCGAAGGGATAGCTATGTAGACAGGTAGATTGACGAGTTGAAAATAGATGTGTGGCTAGACAGCTAATGGTTGGGTGGATAGATTTGAAGATGTATTGACAGAAGGGTAGGTACAGTACTGTAGACAGACATAAGTAGATGGATAAGATTGGTTAAACAGATGGTTTGGTCGATGGATATGTTGAAAAATAGATGGGTGGGTAGGCATGGATAGTTGAGTAGGTAGATGGTGTAGACAGTGATTGGCGGGTTGATGAGTGGATGAATAAAGGGGTAGGTAAACTGCTATATGGTTGGGTGTATAGACCGAGAGATGGGTGAGTAGACAGCAAGATGGTTGGGTGGATGGATAGATGTGTAAACTGTTAGATGGGTGGGTAGATAGATCTCAAAATGCATAGAACAAAAAGTGCGTTTCCGAGTTATGGACCAAAATGAGAACTCAACATGGAAAAAGTAGCGCTCTAAATACCAAGGCTAAATGAGCACTGTTCAGTCACCGAGAAGCAGACCGGAGCTTAACACAGAGTTTACACAGACCAGTAGTCCGCCCTAGTTGGTGAAAGAAAGCTTTCTTTTGCTCTGTTGCCCTGGAATCCCTATAGATCGAGGGCTCGGCGTCCAGCCGAGTTGGCACAGACAGCAGTGAGGGCCTTGCCCTGCCAAGCCCCGTCTGCCACTTCTCATCTCCTCAAGCTGGCTGCCAAGAGACATGATTTGACCATCAGCTCTGGCAGCCAGACACACGCTGCATATGCTGTCACACCACTATCACTTCATAAACACTCTCACAAACAGACCTTTCCCAAATGTAGAACTGTTTTAACTCTTCAGAGTTTTCTTCTCATTTGCCTTTTTGAAATTTTAGTGCTTATAATAGAGACCACACAGCAAGATAAATGTGAAAAAACATGATAATTTAATTAGCATGACATTTCATAGCATTTAGACCATGAATGAGAAATCCATTTCACTGAAAAGGTTCTTGACCTCTTGCATCGTCGAGAGAGGGTAAGGTCTGTTCTGAATAGGCATTATCTATAATGACTGGTACTCCAGTTTGAAGTGTGCTACTCCTGTCTGTGATTAACTGGTTTCTACCTCACTGTAGCTACTGAAGGGGCCCAGCCGGTGGCCACAGTAAATCCACCTGTGCTGACAGTCAAACAGGGCCAGCGGGCAGAGTTCCGCTGCACAGTGACTGGCAACCCCACCCCTGCTGTGGAATGGATAGGTGAGCCAATCTACATTTGAGAATATAAGTTCATAATTAATTTGTGGTCACCATAATTATGCCAAGTAGGACATGGTTATAGGACGTGTGATCTTATATTGGCCCTAGAACAGCATTCCTGCAAAAGAAGGCCTTTGTGAAAAAGAAGCACACTTCAGTACTTATGGAAAAAATATACTTTAAAAGAATATTCTTAAGTGTGTATTGAATGCAATGTTTTCATACACTTATTTGCAGTTAAATAAAAAAAGTATTATGTATGTGACCCTGGACCACAAAACCAGTCTTAAGTCACATGGGTATATTTGTAGCAATAGCCAAAAAAACATTGTATGGGTCAAAATTATCGATTTTTCTTTTATGCCAAAAATCGTTAGGATATTAAGTAAAGATTATGTTGCATGAAGATATTTACGGTAGAAAATTACGAAATATCTTCATAATTTTTGATTGGTAATGTGCATTGCTAAGAATGTCATTTGGACAACTATAAAGGCGATTTTCTAAATATTTTAATTTTTTTTGCACCCTCAGATTACAGATTTTCAAATAGTTGTATCTTGGCCAAATATTGTCCTATCCTAACAAACCATACATCAATGGAAAACTTATTTATTCAGCTTTCAGATGATGTATAAAATTGACCCTTATTACTGGTTTTGTGGTCCAGGGTCACATATAATATTTATATTAAATGCAATTTGATTAACTTTTTGGCCCACTTAATTAGGACTTAAGTACATCTTTATATGTAATTTCATAATTCCATTGAAATATGGTTAAAGTGTGTTAAATTCCAATGAATTTGCAATTTAGTAAATGTTTTATTTAATATTGAATAACACATGACAGTTAAAATGATAAATCAAATACTTGTATTTTATAGTATTTATAAGTTAAAGCACAACAAAAGATTTTTAAAACCTAATGATTTAAACCCAATTATACTTGTTGCTGAAGAATGTTGTTGCTGGACCAACAAGGGTGTTGATCGAGGAACGTCCTAGCTTGAAATCATGGAAAGCATTGTTTGTTGATGAAGATATATTGAGTTTTCAATCTGGTCATGTGGTTAGGTATTCCCACATAACATGAACTCTATTGCTTCCTGACTCCTGGAATTCTGTCTTATAATATGGTGTTTGTCAGGAGGTCCCGGAAAGCGAATCGGCTCAAAAGCCGTCATTCGTAACGGGCTGCTGACCATCCCATCGGTGGATCACGTGGATGACGGCGAGTACATTTGCAAGGCCCTGAACACACATGGCGAGCACACAGCCCGAGGAGTTCTTCATGTTCAAAGTACATGTCCGACACCAGAATGCTTCAAGATTTACTGTGTAACAAGCTCCCGAAGCTGACAAGTCAGTTCTCCTTTACTTTTTAACTGTTGTTTCAGGTACAAGTCAACCTCACGGTCTACCCCACGTACAAGTGAGCCCTCCACGGGTGGAAATTCACGAGGGTGAGACTTTACGGTTGTACTGCAGGGCCGTTGGCAGTCCCACCCCTGCCCTCACATGGAAGAAGAGAGGTGGTTCACTGCCGCCACAGGTGAGAAACCAATTTCTCCTTTTGTCATTCATCCTGTTACTAAATCAGGGTTGTGCCATTGGTCAGATTTTGCCTTGTTTTGCCTCCTTTGAGTTTTTCTTTCTGTTTCATCCCATGTTTTGGTGTTTGTTCAGGCAATTCCTTCTCACGGTTTCCATCAGGTTAAAAGCAACAGTCTCGATGTGTTACAGAGACGTATTGAGGAGCTACAGGTCTGTCCATTTGTCTGATGTCTGTCTCACGCGTCCCATCCCACCTGTCTCGCTTCACTTACCCTCACCAAAATCTATGTGAACTAAATGCATGATTCATTTAATCATTCACGTGACATCCATTAGATTATTAGCCAAAGAAGCATTGCAGATTACTTATGTGAGTAAAAACATTATTTAGTTTGCTCTGGTAAACAGGTGTGCTGGTTTTAGTTTTCAAAGAGTATGTAGTGTGGTGCAAAAGTCTACATTGTTCACCCAAAAAAAATTTATTTGCTGAAAACCCTCAGGCCAAACGAGATGTAGATGAGTTAATTTCTTCATCAGAACATATTTAGAGAAATTTTGCATTACATCACTTGCTCACTAATGGATATTATGCAGTGAATGGGTGAGAATGAGAGTCCAAACGGTTGATAGAAACGTTACAGTAATCCACAAGTAATGCAAGTAATCCATAAATTGCATGTTTGTAATAAATAAATCCATCAAGACATTTTTGACTTGAAATCATTGCTTCAGCCTAAAACATGAGTCCTCTATCCATAATATTTCTTTCTCCAGTGAAAAAGTGATTTGTTTCTTACAAATGCGCATCTTTTCATTTCACAAGACATTAAAGGGGTCATATGATGCGATTTAAATTTTTCCTTTGTCTTTGGAGTGTTACAAGCTCTTGGTGCATAAAGAAGATCTGTAAATTTGCAAAGACTAAAGTCTCAAATCCAAAGAGATATTCTTTATAAAAGTTAAGAGTCAGCCATACCTACCTAAAACGACTCGTTCTAACACGCCCCCACATATCTACCTCGCTATGTGGGAAGATTTGCATAACGCCGCCCAAAAGTTCACGCAAAGAAAGAAGGCGTAACTTTTATTCTCGCTGTAGTATTGTTGACGCTGCAGCCATGTCCTGAAGACGCTGTGTGCTTCGTTGTGAAAGCGAAACTACTTTGTTTGGCCTTCCAAAAGAGGACGATATCTGCTTCGTCATGCCTGGAGCTGATCCGTGCTGGTCGCTGAGGAAATACATCAACTTAGTGCTGTGGATCGCCGGATCGGCTTTCACCGTTTTCACCGCTCCTTCGCCGGGACCGCCGTTCTCGACCCCGTCGCCTCAGCTCACTCTTGCTGACGCTTTCGCTCACAGTAGGCCGCTGTTTTTCTCGTTGTGAAAGCGAAACTACTTTGTTTGGTCTTCCAAAAGAGGACGATATCCGCTGTTCTGACTCACGTAAGTACGTTTTCTTTTATCATTTGCCACTGATGATTCAAACGCGAGTTTTGGGCAGTGTGGAGTAGCACTTGTTGTTTGTCATTTCTCTGATCACAAATGCAGACAGGGTTTTTAATGTTTTTGCGGCACGATGCAATGCAACGCAACTTGTAAAAAGACAGTGTAAGTCATTATAATCAGTAATTATGTCCCCACTGGATGCAACAAATGCCTCGTTTGTAATGGGTTTTAATGCTTTTGTCTCGTCGCTCCGGCCGGACACGCCATCACAGTATGGTGAGGGGCGTAACATTTCCGTCTCACGCTTGAGGGAATCGTCCAATCACAACGCACTGGATAGCTGGCCAATCACAGCACACCTCGCTTTTTCAGACCGATGAGTTTTGTAAAAATCGACACGTTTCAAAAAGGTGGGGTATAGAGGAGAAAATAATGTACAGTATGTGGAAAATGTGTTTTTTTTTTTACTTTAAACCGCATAAACACATTTCATTACACCAAATACACAAAATAATGTTCTTTTTAGCAGCATCATATGACCCCTTTAATTGATGGACTAGAGTCATCTGGATTACTTGTAGATTATTGTGATATTTTTATAAACTGTTTGGACTTTCATTCTGACGGCACCCATTCACTGCAGAGGAATCATTGGTGAGCAAGTGATGTTATGCCTACATTTCTCCAGTTTTGTTCTGATGAAGAAGCAAACTCATGGTGAGGGTGAGTACATTTTCAGAACATTTTCATTTTTTGGGTGAACTATTCCTTTAAAGCAAAGGATGTACAAACTAAATACTGAAATTTACATTTACATTTTACAATTGAACTTTGGACTCAAATTGTTATACTCATATAAATGTATTTAAATTAGAAAAATGGCTAAATATAAAGCCAAACAGAAGCAGTTTTCCAAGTGGATCCATTTTTTTTTAACCCCACTGTACATGTTTTTGCACTGTTCGATTTGGGTTATTTGAGATAAGAGACATGGACGACCCGTCCCATGCCTCTGGAGGGCTTTGGTGTATTGCGTACCTTGTGTCTTTGTGGACTGGTTTGTTCTGCCTGAGAGCATCGCTGCATTGTGTCAGCCTTTCCCAGGGTGTGCTCTGGTCTACCGTGCGGCCATGCAGAAATTCTGTGTGCTCTAGCAAATGGGCTGCTTTGAAAATCTTTGAATGGTTTCAGACACTCATTCAACCAAGCCTGCCCCATTCCGGCTCTACTGCCGCCACGCTTCACTAGAGTTAAGCAGCTTTACTCCTGGATAAAAAATATCACCCCCTCCCTTCTGAATACAGTCAAGTTTTTCTTTGCAGAGAGTACACTACAGATGTAATGTAAAGTTTTAGAGTTTCTTTGTATACAGTGGTGTGAAAAAGTGTTGGCCCCCTTCCTGATTTCTTATTTTTTTGCATGTTTGATAACTATTGTCGAGAATTTGACATCATAATTGTGCTAATTGCATTCATGAATTTTTATCATCTATAAATCCTTGTAAAACAAAGAAAGTCTAAGTATGTTTACATTTGAAGGTTGATTTACAGGCCTGGATGTCTCTAGGATGTAGGTCTCTAAATGTAGGATTTTGATGTATATTTTGTAGTCACTAGCTGCTTTAACTGTCCACTGTCACTGTATATCTCATTGTGTGAAATAATCACCGTCACCAATGCCTTTAATCAATTACAGGTAATTGCAGGTTAATCATCCGCTAATATAGACCTGTAGCACCATAATTATAACACCAATGATTAATAACAATCTGTTATGAGGCATAAAAAAATTACACTGTGTCTTAACTTGTCCAGTAGTGTACCTGTATGTCATAAGCCACAGTGCCTTCGCATTTTGTGAGCCATTTGGTTTGTGTCTGCCATGTCGCGCCGGGTAGTCCGTCCACAATGGAAACTTTTTGGATACAATTAGCGCTACTCATATATATTAATCATCAAACATCAAGGAGGAGAGAGTTGCACTGTGTTCCAAACTGGCTAAAATTAGAGGGAGAGCCATACTGAAGGGTTGTTCCAAACCAAAGTTCACTACTGGACACTTCAAAGAGCCCTTTGAAATTAAGCATTTCAAAGAGTCCAACTGATGGAAGCTTGATTCTTTGTGCAGGCTGAATTGACTAGGACAATAACAAAGTGCAGTAAATGGTACAACCATTTGCGCTACAAACCAGTGTGTTGATAATTACGACAACAGATTAAAATAATATGATAGCAGTTTGCAAAATTGTGGATATGACAATTTCCATACAAAAAATAACAATCATGCTTAATTACTACTGATGAAGTCATGAAAATATGAAGTATGTGTTTTGCGCTCTTCAGCTACAGTGTATTGTGGCAGCGAGAAAGTGAGAGAATTGTTCTGATTGGCTGTGTTTATGTACTATTTTGTTGCGTCACACCACATTTTTGCATTCAGTTTGTCATTAGTCTTGGTTAGGACGCAGTGATAGCCTCATAACAAAAATCACTTCATAAATGACTAAAATGCTTAACATTATTTGCTTAATTTTTTTAGTTTATTTGCAGGTATTTCTGTATATTAATGCATTTAAACTGATTTAAACTGTTTTATTTAATGAAAGTCTTGTCAAGGCAAGGTAAGTAATGAGTATTAAATTGTCTTCTGTTGTTAATGCTGTTACGTTTATTCTGCTCCTATTGACCAAACTCACTTGATGTTCACAAAAAATCAATCCAATTTATTTATTTAGCACGTTTTACAATGCACATTATTTGAAAGCAGATTTACAGAAAATGATTGCAGTAATAATATCTTGGATTCCATATAAAATAACAAAAAAATACCTCAAAAACCCATATATCCATATCCTCCTCAGGCCCGCCTGGAGCGCACTGACATCGGCACTCTGTTCGTACCCAATATCAGGTCGTCTGATGCAGGCACATATCTCTGTGTTGGAACCAACACTGTTGGTTCCTCAGAAGCTCATATTGAGGTCTTTGTCAAAAGAGGTGAGGCAAGTCCTGAAATTTTAGACTAGTATCTTTAGGATATAATTGTAATATTGTTCTGTCACTGTGATCAGGAGAAATCATCCCCTCTGGAGTCACCATCCAGCCCTCTATTGCTTCTGTAATGGAGGGAGAGACTCTAGATCTCAATTGCATCGTCCCAGGAACCTCTCCAGCATCTGTCAAATGGAGCAGGGCAGGTGGCCTGCTGTCATCCAATCATCAGGTTTTATCTCAGTCCATTATAAAGCAGATTTACGTATGTATGTATGTATGACAGATTTCTGAGCCGAGTGTTAAATATATAAACCATATGTGTTCTTGCGTGTGTATTTGACTCAAGGTTTTGGGAACTCAGTTGCGGATCCTGCAGGCCTCTGCAGATGACACTGGAGAATATATCTGTCAGGTCGAGGGTGGCCCATTCCCCCGTCAGGCTTCTGTGTCTGTGTCTGTGACGTCCAGCTCCTCCCGTAAGTCCCCTAGATTGATGAGAAGCAGGAAAGTATTCATGTAATGCAGATCATTAACCAAACATGCTATTATGTAGGCAGAGGCTGTTTCATAATGTTGTCTAATGTCATCTATCTTCACATTTTGGTTTTTCATGTATTAGGTAAACAGAATTATTTTCCAAGCCCCTTCATCTCTTGCTGTGCACTTTGGAATTAGTTTTCAGGGACTTTTGTGGACTTTTTTTCAATTTTATGTCAAATACTTAAAGGGATAATTCACCCAAAAAGGAAAATTAAGTCATAATTTACTCACCCTTGTGTTGTTCTCATGCTATATGCCCTTCTTTCCCATGTGACACGTGCCGTATATTCCAAGTGCTCGGGGGATATACAATAGGGTTTGGTGAAAAACAAACCAAAATTTGACATTATTTGTTGTTGGTCTCTGTGCACGACTGCGGGTTCATTAGCATTGCAGTTCACCCCGACTCTCCCATGTGATCAGTGGCATTTTCAACATTTATTTAAGTATTATTTAATAATAGGAAAATTGACATGCAGTGGTTTTTGTATTTTATCTTCAAATGATGGATATCATTTTAAAAATGTGCAGAAATAAGTTAATGCAACCTCTTGTTTGCGTAAGATAACACTTGACCTGGCTGCTTGGTTGTCTAGTAAAATTATTAGTCCTGCAAGCCCCAGTTTATATGAATGTAATGTGTATATTTTAAATACCAACACACAACCTTACTGTTTGTCAAAAAACAGTAGGCAATTTAGTATTTTCATGTGTGTGGTGGGGGAAAAGAATTGAGAATGCAATAAGATCACAGACTAGCTCCTGGAAATGTTACAATTACCAACAGTAACATGATCATGAGGAAAAAACAATGAATAGTGCTAAAATAAAGACTAAAAATGACTGAGATAGCAAATAGAGAATTAATCCAAGAAGAGTTCACTACTTTATCTAGACAAGCACTAAACCCATAACTACATCAAAAATCAGTCCCCCCCCCCCCATGTTTTAAATGTCTGGCATATTTTTGCCCCTTTCAGTGCCTTCATTTTAATTTCCCTGGGTCTGATGCTCAACATATGCCCACTGTATTTTGTGGTTTGATTTTGGAGTAGGTCTCCAGAGCCCCATTATCTCCATTGAGCCTCATAGCACAGCAGTGAAGCTGGGCGAGTTAGCGAGCTTCAGGTGCAGGGTCCACAGCGGAGCCCAGCCGGTGCGTTTGGAGTGGAAACCCACCAACAACCTGCCTCTGCCAGGTACACTGCTATTCACTTTCATTTCAGTGTAATTAGTATGATGCCTGAATAGAAATGATTTTGCTTATTTTCTTTTGCTCTGTAGATAATGTGAAAATTGGACCTGACAATTCAGTCATGACTATTACCAATGCTCAAGCCAGAAACCAGGGCACCTATCGCTGCGTGGCCAGCAACCTGTTTGGAATGACCCACAGCATTGCATCACTCATTGTGAGAGGTATAACCACAATTGATGTGAACTAGGAAAAGGAAAGCTACTAGGAGGGGGCATTGGAAAACCAGTGGATAATCAGAAAACCAGAAATAATCATTATTGCCATTTCAATTGGTGCACACCATTTTTCTGATGTTCAAATACTTTTGTTGTTCCATTTTAGGAGCCTAATCTTATATTTTTGTCTGATTTCATTTTTAGAATCTCCTAAGGCTGTAGTGACCCCTGCAGGTCCGATGCGAATCAGGATCGGCGATCCCATCAATCTCGAATGCCAGGCTGCTGGAGAGCCAAGACCCTCTGTCAGATGGCACAGACTGGACAACAACCGCAAGACGATGCTGAGCAGCCCCGTGCCTGCCGATTCCAGTGCTGTCATGCAGGTTACGGGCCGTTTGTAGTCAAGCCTTTGTTGATTTCACAGTGGTTTGGCTCTATGTTTTAATCCGAGTGTGTTTCATTCTGTGTTCAGATCTTAGTTGCACGGCCTGAAGACAGTGGCACATATGTGTGCACTGCACAGAACAACCAAGGGATAACTGAAACTCGAGTGGAGGTGTTTGTTGAAGGAGGGCCTCAGGTGCCAACTGTTCCCCGTGCCAGCGTACGTGAGCCTATGATAGTTGTGGTAGAGGGATCAACAACAACACTTCGTTGTGATGCCCATGGTAGGTGCAACCGTAAGCAGCGGTTGAAAGTTATGGCTGTTAAAACACAATAGGTAAAAATGCAAGCAGACAATATGTCTATATTAAAGAGTGTACCTTAAAGCTTTTGTATCTTTCCTAAAGGATTCCCAAAGCCCACCATCACATGGTCTAAAGAACGGTCGTCTTTGCCTTGGAGACACAAAATTGTTGACAACAGCCTGATCTTAACTAATGTGGGCCGTCAGGACTCTGGTCAATATGTCTGCAACGCTACTAACCACATGGGCACCAGTGAAGTCACAATCATGCTGGAAGTAGACAGTGAGCTTAATTTATTCATAGATCATTTTTATTCCTTGTTAATCTGATGCATGTTAATTTTACACTTCAATAATCATTTTCTTACTAATATTTTTACTTTGTTTTCCAGGAAAAATGTCCACCAAACCAAATAAATGTACTTGAAGCAAAATTGTTTACAATATTATGACTTCTGAGAACATATTGTGAAAAAAAAAATGTATCATACATCCTTTACAAACAATCATGTCTAACATCTAGATATTTATTACAAAATTATTATGCACTCTTACATTGCGAAAAAATAACTTTCATATTTAGTATTTTTAGTATATTTATTTTTATAAAAAAATTGTATTCAGTATTTTTGTTTGCCAGAAAACAAATCTAAATATCCTTAAAACATGTTTAATGTTCAAAATGTCATAAGGTATTCATAATATTTCATAAGGTAATAATACATTTTAGATAATTTATATTGAATTAATTTACCTTGTAATTTATTTTCTTGTCCGTTGCCAAAAAAAAAAAAAGTCTTATTTTGTATTTTTTTCTTGTTTGCCAGGAAAAAAACTGGTTATTTTAGCATTTCATCTAAACATCAGTATTTCATGAAAAAATGTAAACATCTATAAAATATCTACAAATGTATCTGCATTTAATAAGATATTAATAAATTTTATATAATATATCTTTAATTAATTTAGATCTTTATTTAATTAATTTTCTTACACCATTGGTAAACTTTTTTTTTAAGCATAAACCTCTCAAAATTTAGTTAGATTTAAATTTAAAACAAGATGGCAACAGAGTAAGAAAAATACACTAAATAAGATATATCCTCTAAAAAAAATTTACTACATTTTAAGATTGTAACTTTTGTCTGAATTTCTCCAAGATGTGTGAAACACATTTTCCTGTTGTTATAAAGCTCTCTAACATGAGCAAGTGGTGATTATCCAGCATCTTCTAACTGACGTTTCTTTGGTTGGAGCAGCCCCACCCTATGCCACTTCCTTGCCCGATGACGTGTCTGTGCGAGTGGGTGAAGTAATCCGACTGCAATGCCTGGCCCATGGCACCCCACCCCTGCGTTTTGAGTGGACCAAGGTCAATGGCAGCTTGCCTCCTAGTGCTCAGCAGCAAGGAGGAGACCTCCAGATCAACCTGGCCAAGGAGAGCGATGCTGGGACATACAAGTGTGTGGCCAGCAACAAGGTTGGCAAGAGTGAAGCGCAGGCCAGAGTGTCTGTTCGATGTGAGTGCTGACAGTTCAGTGAGTCAAACTCACAAAGTGATCATCAGATGAATTCTAACTGACATTCAGCTTGACCTCTGACCTCTGTGTCCTGCAGCACCCCTGTCAGTGAAAGTGTCCCCACAGGTGGAAGTGAAGGCTCTGGGCAGTGCTGTGGAGTTCACCTGTGCTGCTAAAGGAGGGTCTCACATTGAGATTGAGTGGCTGAAGGAGGGAGGAGTTCTTCCACCAAATCATCACATTAAAGACGAAGTGCTCAGGTGAATCTCATTATCTCATATCAACATTGACTATCACACAATAAATATTCAAATTAAGTAAAATTTATCAGATTAAAAAATACCAGAATGGGTAACAATGGGTAGCACAGATGTAGCATAAATTAGGATATGACTCAATAGGGGTTGACTACTTCGCCATCAAATGTTGGTTTGTGTTTATTAATAAACTTATGCTATCATTCAAAAGATTTTTTTAAATGTTTTCGAATTGTCCCACTTGCAAGGACCACCCATGTCAGGTAAATCCCCTACAAACAAAATATTTATTTCAATTAGTACGCACAGGGACCCCAAAAAGTATTTGGACACTTTTGTAAGTCATATATGTGAATTTTTAATTACTGAAGGAAAAATAAAATCAAAACCAGTAGCATCTGAATGCTAGTCTTCAGGACCAACCACAGTGATTTTAGGTGGACAAATAGTCTTTGTCCCAAATACCAGGATGTGCATTTTGTGTGGTTGGCCTGTGAAAATCGATCAGCTCAAAAGTCGTGTGTGTGTTTCAGAATGGTGGTATTTGTGAGGACTCTACAGCCAGTCTCTACAAATGCAGTTGCCAGAGAGGATACACAGGAAGCAACTGTCAGCATCAAACCTAATGTATCTAAAGTAGATAGATTATAAAAAATAAAAAAATAGATTTTTACCTCTAATGTTGTGACCCCTTTAAAAATATTTATGGATCTGTCCCACCTTAAAAGGTCCTGACCTTTCAAAAAAAATTTATTTGACACCAAAGTGAAAAGTACCTCCTTACCTGAGTGCAATGTAACCTTTCAAATAGTAAAACCCAAAGCTTAAAATAGTGCCCTGATTCCTTCCTGTCCAAGCTAAATATGCATTCTTTTCCGTGCTCTCAGGTCAAGCAGTTCTGCGCAGTCAGGAGCCCATGTCTCTGGGTCAGTGGCATCGCGTGGTGGCCGAGCGGCTCAATAAGGATGGTTCCTTGAAAGTGGACCATGCACGAGAGATCACAAGGTCTTCTCCAGGCAAGGCACAGGGCCTTAATATCCACACACCCATGTATCTGGGAGGAGTGCCCAGCATGGACATCCTGCCCAAACCCGCAAATGTTAGCATGCTCTTTGATGGATGCATAGGAGAGGTGAGAATGGCCTTCACACTAAGTGTTGTGTACATTACACCCCACAGTCATGTTTCAGTATTAAATTGTTTGGTGTTGGCTTTGTTTTTCTGTACAGGTCTTCATCAATGGAAAGAAGTTGGATCTATCATACAGCTTCATAGAGAGCAGAGCCATCAGCCAGTGTAAAGATGGCAATCCATGTGACCGCAGGCCTTGTCTGCACGGAGGCACCTGTATGGCCAGTGCTGAGTATGAGTACCAGTGCCTCTGCGCTGAAGGATACGAGGGTAAGTCGCTTAACCAACTGTCAAGTAGAAAAACAATCAGCACGAAAAACAATGCATAGCTTAAGCATATGCTTAAGTTTGGCATTTGTTAGTTTAAATGAAACTTAATTTAGCTAAGTTTATTTAAATAAAAAATGTAGTGCCTAATGTTCATAATATAATGATAAATGTGTATAATTACCCATTTTATTCTCAGAAATTACACATTTGTATTTAAAATTGGTATTGATATTGATCATGGTAGTACTTGAAGTTTATGATTAGCTTGCTAAGGCTCTGAAAATCCTCTTCACTACATTTTATTTCTAATAATTGTTGTTTAATACATATTTATTACATATTTTCCTTTTATTTTCTTGCTTGTTGTTCCTCAGGTGACCGTTGTGAAATAGTGAGGGAGAGCTGTCGATTCTCCTCTCAGTGCCAGAACGGTGGCAGCTGTGTGAATAACCACTGTGTGTGTCCCGCCGGCTACACAGGCCGGCACTGTGAGAAAGGTTAGTTCACAACTGCTAGATGTGTAACACATTGTTTTGCAAAAATCTTTTTGTAAATGATTTTTGCCCTCTGATTAGTTGATTGCATTGTTGCACATACAGTATATATTGTACATTTTTTGCTATGTGTTTCTGTTATATTGTACATCACTGTCAGCATTTTCCAATCCAAAGTCCACTTTACCATTAAGGACATATTATAAGGCAAGAATGATTCTAGTTATAACATTTCTCAGTGTAGGCTTATTTTTGAAAGACACATGCTTTAGTCTTGGGCACAATAAATGCTAATGCACATTTTCACTGTTATTGCCCATTCATCAAACAGATATAGTTCACTTGCAATCCAGATAGCTATATGAGCATAAATATGATGACGTTTAAATGTTAGTTTGGAGAATTCACAAAAATTATTCTAATTTAAGACCGTTTTAAACTAGCCCAGTCTCTCATTCTATTGTTATTTTTGTATTTGTATAGTATTACAGAATTTATGTAGCTTTTACATTTAGCTTTTGTTTTGATTTTCAGCTTTTATTTTAATTTTAGTTTGTTTTAGTAATGTTATGTGCTTTTGTAATTTTATTCTGGTTTTTTATATATTTATATTTAGCTTTATTTCTATTTTAGTTTGTCGTTTTAGTGTTTTTACTTCAATCTCAACTTATTTCATTTTACTTAGATGCCAAGGCAACAATTAGTAATTTCCATTAAAGTTTTTTTAAGTTTAATTTTTGTTTTTGATTTCATCTAATATATATTTTTGAATTCAGATTGTTTCAATTAACAAAAATGATTTTTAATAGTCTTATACATCTATTTTACATTACATGTTTTAAAGGCACAATATGTAAGATTTTTTTATTAAAATATCCAAAAACCACTAAAACAGTTTTATATATTTTGCTGACTTGTGTACTTTATCCCAAATGTTTCGAAGAATGTTTAAATCCAGAGAAATCAGCAATTTTAACTAGTGACTCGGACCGTGTCCATAGTGTCATTGTGTCGCCTGCCAATGACGTCATAACCCCTCGATTTCCGGTTTTGTTTTGTAGAAAACATGGAAACACCAAAGACGCTTTAATATGCTATGCATTTTATTCGACAGGTGACGACCGCACAGAGTAGCATTATAACAGAATGTTCAAATGTACAGTTGTGGTCAGAATTATTGGCACCCTTGGTAAATATGATCAAAGAAGGCTGTGAAAATAAATCTGCATTAATCATTTTGATCTTTTATTAAAAAAATTCACATAAATCTAACCTTTCATTGGAGAATAAGAATTTAAAATGGGGGGAAATATCATTATGGCATAAATGTTTTTCTCTAATACACATTGGACATAATTAACGGCACCCTTTTATTCAGTGCTTTTTGAAACCTCCATTTGGCATAATAACAGCTCTGAGTTTTCTCCTATAATGCCTGATGAGGTTAGAGAACACCTGACAAGAGATCAGAGACAATTCCTTCATCCAGAATCTCTCCAGACCCTTCAGATTCCAAGCTCCATGATGGTGCTTCTCCTCTTCAGTTCACCACACTCATTTCTATAGGGTTCAGGTCAGGGAACTAGAAGGGCCATAGCAGAAGCTTGGTTTTGTGCCCAGTGACCCATTTTTGTGTTGTTTTTAAGGTTTGTTTTTGGATTATTGTCCGGTTGGAAGATCCAAACATGGCCCATTATAAGATTTCTAACAGAGTCAGTCACTTTTTTATTTTTTATCTGTTGGTATTTGATAGAATCAAAGATGCCATGTATCTAAACAAGATGTCCAGGACCTCCAGCAGAAACATAGGCCCACAACATTAAAAATAGACCATAGAAGCCAGTCCCATTTGAAGTTCCAGTCGTGTCTGACAACAGAATATGCTGGGGATTGTTTTTGGATGAGAGCATTTTCTTTTCTTGAAACCCTCCAAAACAACATGTGGTGTAGGTGCTGTTTGATTTATTATTATTTTTTAAGGTTTTCTGACCCCGAGACTCAACTATTTTCTGCAGTTCTCCAGCTGTGGTCTTTGGAGAGTCTTTAACCACTCAAACTCTCCTCCTCACTGTGCATTAGGACGATATAGACACACGTCCTCTTCCAGGCAGATTTATAACATTTTCTGTTGATTGGAAATTCTTACTTATTGCCCTGATGGTGGAAATGGGAATTTTCACTGCTCTAGCTCTTTTCTTAAAGTCACTTTCTAATTTGTGAAGCTCAATTATCTTTTGCTGCACATCAGAAATATATTCTTTGGTTTTTCTCATTGTGATGGATGAATAAGGGAATTTGGCCTCCTATTTATTTTGGCCTCCCTCCTATTTATATTCCTGTTAAACAGGAAGCCATGGCTGGATAATTTCATGTTCATAATCACCCTGGTATGCACAAAATTGGAAATATGAATGGGAATATACTTCACAGATATTTTACTCATAAGAATTTCTAGGGGTGCCAATAATTGTGTCCAACGTGTATTTGAGAAAAACATTTATTTCATAATGAGATTTTCCCCCATTTTCAATTGTTTTAGTTCAATGAAAGGTTAGATATTTGTGAATTTTTTTAAAATAAAAGATCAATATGATTAACAATGCAGATTTATTTTCACAGCCTTCTTTGATCATATTTACAAAGGGTGCCAATAATTCTGACCACGACTGTATCTAGTATGATAAAACAGCGCTGCTTACTTCCGCTGCTTTCCGGAAGGAGCGGAAGCGGTCGACTGTCATAATAAAACTAATTTTGCTTCGACGGCTTTCCGCCTCACTCTGCTTCATACTACGATGTTAATAAATCTTTAATACATTAGCTCATCCTTGAACATGATTTCTGCCCGAGTCCCATCGGATTGCTTCGGCTGTGGGGATGAAGACGACAACTACCATGATTCCACACTCAGTCACGGCGTCGTCTAACTACACCTTTGTTTCTTTTGAATACGTGCCCTTTAGTGGCAAAAAATTACATATTGTGTCTTTAAATAATGTAATTTAATATGCATGGCGATGAACATACAGCTAACTAAAGCCAATATGTGTGCAATGTGACTTTAAATTGCTTTATTATTCTTACCGATAATATATTGGTCTCTTTAGACACCGTTTGCTTCATTTGTCATTTTAGAAATTCACGTTCTCTATGGAAGTAAAGGTATTTCTCTGTAGTTTCATAGCATTAAACAGAACCACAGCTGGAAGTAATTCATCATAAAGCACCATAGTGAATTAATTGCCGGTTCTCCATAATGTACCATGGCGACATCAGTCAGGCTGCCTAACGTCATCCAGCAGTAGCGTGTTGGCTGGTGAAAGAGGCCACGTGTGTATGAATCTCACCCCTGCACTCTCATGGCTATCCCACACACACAGGGCAGGAGTCCAGATTCACCGAGGCACTGTGGAATTTGGAGGGTAGTGGGGGAAATGGTACAGTATGACTACAGTCTGCCTGACACGCTCGTCACTAACCAGGGGAGAGCGTCCTCCTCAGGGCCCATCAGCCCATCTAACACCACAAATAAAACAACAACAACAACAAACGGCCTCAGTGGGGGGAAAAGGAAGCCAGAAAATTAAGCATTTTAGGGGTCTGTTTACAGAGCTCTTATTACCAACAACAGAGGCAAAATCAAGCACATTTCTGATCATTTTGATAAATGCATTTAAAAAAAAAAAAACTTCATCAGTGTTGTTTGATAAATCCTTATTATATAAATCTGTAAAATCATCTTGATTATGAATTTATCCTGATAAAAATAACTATGCATCCTACAAAACAAGATTTAACTGGGGGAAAATAGTGTAAGAAAAGACTTTCAGATAATTTATTATTTATGTTTTGAGTATAAATGTAAATTAAGTGAGGTTTATTCTTTAAACAGTTTGTCAGTAGGGTATATATTTGCTTGTTATCTACATCATATTATTTTAAGCAGTTATGCAAATTAGTATATAATATTTGAATAAATTATTACAATTATTTTTGTAGTATATTTAAACTACCATTCAAAAGTTTGAGATCAGTAAGATTTTATGATGTTAAAAAAAGATTTGTTTCAAATAAATGCGGTTCTTTTGACCATTCAGAATAAATTCAGGAAAAACTGAATAAATTACATTTTAAAATGTATTAAAAAAGAAAACCATTATTTTAACTTGTAATATTTCACAATAATACAGTGTATGTAATACAGTAGCTTTAGTGAAAAGAAATCTTTAAAAAAAAATCTTACCCACCCTAAACTTTTGAACGGTAGTGTATGTGTAATGATGTAATGAATATCTAATAGGTGCTTGATGTCCCTGAAAGTTTTCATTCACAAAATTAAAAACACTGTATATAAGCTTATTGATGCTGACGTTTTGTAAATAGAGCCCTGAAATATTGTGCTGTCAGAATGAATGGTCTCAATCTGCACTCAGTTGGTTACTGTGTCCTTTGTAAAGTTTTAAATGTTACGTTGAGGGGGAATTCTATGTCTACACTGTAAAACGCTGAAAGTTTATAGTAGTTTTTGGTGCAGTTTTTGTGGGTAATATTAAAACTGTGAGGGTTGCAAGTTGCAACACTGACATTTTCTTAAGGATATGCATAGAATTCCCCTTTAGCATCTCCTGAGGCGTCTTGTCCGGTCAACCTCTCGCTGCAGTTTCAATTTGTCATCTCTTTCTCATTAAATCCTTGTTTCTCTTTGTTACGAAACCAACAACCGACATATTTTCCACACTTTCACCTACAGGGATGTCTGTAAACACGATGTCCTCACACTGTGAACAAACACGTTTTTAGTTACTAACCTCTGAATGTCCGTCATTTACACACTTGAGCTGACCAGACAGGTGAGTTTTCGGTCAGAAACACTGAGCATGAAGCACTTCTTGGTAAGCACTCATTTGCCTGAGAGTTCTCCGGTTATTACATGGCATTACATTACAAGAGAATGCTTTGTGAGGAATGCATATTGTTGTTCCCAACTGTGAATTTTACTTTGACAGCAGTGTGTATTTGCATTCATTTTCATTTATCTCATTTTTTTTGTGAGTTGCCCTTGATGATTGTATGTTCCCAATGAAGGCTGCTATTTGGAATCTAGCATTTATAACTTATAAATAGTAATTCATCAGATCAGATGTGGTTTAATGTAGTCAGGGGCTCAGTTCTGTTCATTGACTGCTTATTTTGTTATTTGGTGAAGCTCCACAGGGTGGTAGTATAACCCAGAGGTTGGCACCTGGGGTTTATTTTTTTGGTTTCTCTTTTCCAGACTCGCCTATTGAATATTCTGCATATTTCCATGATAATGGATATCTGGCTCTTCCGAAGCCCATGTTCCCACGAAGGTGAGAGGGCCCTTAATATGTGAAACTATTGATGAACTGTGTTCTGTGTTTAACGGACTTAATTATCCATTTAAATGAGTTCTGTCAAATTCAGCAGTTTACCACAGAAAATTATTTTGGCTCGTCTCTCAGCTTGAAAATGCAAACAAAAAAAATTGTTTTTTGAATGTTGTCAAGTAGTATTGATGGTTTGTTTTGTTTCAGTGCTCCTGACTCTCCAGAGACTATCGAGTTAGAGATCAACACTGTCGCTAAAGACGGACTCGTCCTGTGGCAGGGAGTGGTATGTTTGGACACATGAGCCCCCTACTGGATCTCAGGGCACATAGATTCAGGGTCCACATTTTCAAAAACTAAAATAATTATCATTTATTCTGCACCATTTTAAGTTGCAATTTTCCATATACCAAATTTATATACTATTATATTTTTATGTTTATATATATATATATATATATATATATATATTTATTTTTATTTATTTATTTTTTATGTTGAAAAATTAAAAAGTTGCCATTTTAGGTAAAAGTCAACAGTTTTTCATTGATAATTTTGGACCCTGCATACACTCACATTCTGATACTGTATGCACAGTGTCATTTACATTTTATATTCAGCCTCATTTCACTAAACAGAGTAAAATGAGTTTGCTTGGAGCTGTTTTGGAATATGCTTTTGTCCTTCACCTCTAAAGCACATTTTAATGGCTGCATTGCATGTTTGCCTGGCTAACTCACCTTCATCCTCCTCAGGAGCCTGCAGGCGCTCTAAGCCTCCGTAAGAAGCATGCTAGTATAAAGGTATTCACTCTTCACAAGCAGTCAGCTTGTTTACTGTACATACTGTATATACAAGTACAGTATGTCTGCATTAGCATGAACGTATCATTTCAGAATATATGCAAAATATCTTTGAACTTTACAGCACTTGCACAGATACATTTAAACATTTTGAAAACAGCCCTTATATTTTACTATTGATTTAGCAAATGCCTTTTTTTCTCACTTACAGTGCACTAACTGACCGCACGGTTGCTCAAGAGCACAATTATCCTAGAAAAACATTTGTTAAATAACTAGGTTATTCAGTGGCTGTAAGTGAACAGGCTCAGGAATTATCAATGGGTAAAAAAAGTGAAATTTCACCTCATTTATTGTTTGCATGTGTTAGTGGGATTTCAAAGTTGCTCTTTATTTATGACAGTAGTTCCCAACCCTGTTGCTGGAGCAAATTCTATGCAAACTTCTGTTCCATTCAAAATGTACAGTGTGGGGGCTCAAGGAACAGGGTTGGGAACCACTGATTTATGACAGAAGTAGCCTTATGTTTGCATATTTATCACCTGCTTTTCCACCTGTTCAATCAGCACACCTGTGTTACTGCAACAGTTTATCACATACATTTGCACTTCACAAGTAGGGTTTGTTGTACAGTCAACAATTTCTGAAGGTGTTTTTTTTTTGCCTTCGGAAATTGTTGCCTGTTAACCTCAAATCAAACATGGGACACAGCTATATGTTAATCAAAAACAAATTTTGTTAGTTAATAATGAAACTTCTCCTGCAGTAGATTGAAATTTAGCAGATTGGCATACATTTGATGTGTTTAAATCCAACTTGTATGGTAAAACAGTCATGGGACACTAAAGTGTACAATATATATGAAAAGTGATTCATATTCCAGGTTTTTTTTTTTACTTTATACACCATGTTATAGAAATGAAGACATTCTGAATTTTCGAAAATACTTTTCCAGGAACTAGGAGGTCAAGGAAAGGGGAAGGACTTCATAAGTATTGGTTTACAAAATGGACATATTGTGTTTAGGTGAGTAATCAAGCACATATTAATACTAACAAACCACATGGGTATATGGCTAAAGAGTCTAACATGATATGATGACAGTATAATAACCTAATGTTTGAAATATTCACAAGATCTCATGACTTTTGTTACTAGGGTTCTCTGCTGCAGCCTCTATGTTTCAGTTTCTTACTGATCTAGATCAGTCCCTTGTAGCCAGTCATAATGTGCTCTTGTTCCTCTGATAGTTACCAGCTGGGCAGTGGAGAGGCTCATATTCTCTCCAGAGAGCCTGTCAATGATGGACAGTGGCACATGATCACTGCAGTCCGGTAATGCTCCTAACCTCTCCAAATGGTCATAGAAAGCATAATAGAAAGATAATAGTGAGTTCTTTCTATGTGTTGAACAGAACGGGTAAGCAGGGCTACCTTCAAATCGATGGAGGATCTGTCCAACGTGGGCAATCAGAAGGCAAAAGCATCATGGTGAACACCAAGGGCAACATATACCTGGGTAAGTGTAATATTACAGTGGTATTTGTTCCTTGTAGTGATCAGATTGTTGTGTCTCAAAGAAATGACCTTTTCTTGTAAAAGAAAATCCTAATCATTTGAATCTGAAGTAAGATTGTTTGTATCTGAACTGTAGGTGGAGCTCCAGACATGAAAGCATTGACCGGTGGGAAGTACTCATCAGGTATCACAGGCTGCGTGAAGAACCTCTCACTGATGAACGCTCGACCGGGAGAACAGCCAGCACGACCTATCGACCTGCAGGTCCACGCAGAGGAGGGCATCAACGTGGAGCGCTGCTTAACATAGACGCAGTACTAAAACACTAGCAGAGACTACAGAACTTTTTCCCCTCATCCACATTCACACTGAGAAACATGCATTTCTCAGACGCTTACAGGACAAACTACAGTCACACTTAAACAGAGACATACACTGATTCGTGTTTCTTGGTGCTTCACCGCAACCGAAAAAAACACACAAGAAAGGATTCTTCGCTCTGTGCTGCATTAAACCAAAAAATAAGAAAAATGTATGATATTAACAAGTCTTCAATTTTTCAGTGTTTTATGCTCAATCAAGGACCTATTAACACAGAAGCTCCGAACAGTAGCTTTTTAGCCATGAGAAAAAGATGACAAAAATGGTTTAAAAAATAAACATGATGAGCCTTCTATGGTGGGTCAGATCCTATGGAATCGGAGATGTTTTTACAGCACTGAATTTTTATTTATAAGCATATTAATCTATATATATATATATATTATATTTGTGGGGGAAATGCAAGCTAACATTAACCTGCTCATTTGTTTTCCTAGCAGTGATTCTAGGCTCTAACAATGCGTGTCTGAGGTTTAGTGCCCGAGCTGTGTTAATACTTGAAGACTCTGCTGCCTTCTTTTACTCTGTTTGAGGGCCGGTGGGGGCGAGCATGCTTAGATACCATGAGGAACGGGTCTCTGTGAGGTCACAGCACAGAAGACGTCAAGACGCATCTCAGGTGAAGATTGTTGCTAAAAAAAAATACAAATTGGGAGATCATATATACAGTGTTGACTGCATATATTTGAAATGACATACCTTCCATGCTTGGAAACATTGTTGTGTCTGCTAAATGTGTCTGGTAATATAAAAAACACATGGTGCTAAATTCAGACATGACAAAGGCAACAAAACAAGCACATAATCATAGTTTCAGTTTCTTAAAATATTTACTTCTCTGAATGGGTGTCATTTGTTGTAAGAAAGAAAAGCTGTAGCTTTACAGTAAAATAAAGCACTGTTTACTAATTACAATCCCTCAAGCCAAAGTACTGAGAAGTTAATTTTAGATGAAAAGTGGATGTGTGGTCTCTAAATTGTGAAATATTTTGAAATTATATAGTTTTTAAAATTTTTTATTTCAGAATTAGAATTATTAAAATTCTCGTAGTGGATGAGAAATGTTCCATAAAATCACACTGCAGCAGTTTTAATTGTTTGGAAAGTATTTTTATTTTTTCACTTATCTGTTTTTCACAGTTTTGCTGTTAACAACCACACTAACATATTATTTTACATGATAGATTTGTATGAATGGTTTAGTGAGGTGTCTTTTTCCATTACGTTCATATTATATTGGAGTCTTACACAGTTTACATTGAAAAAAAAGAGGAAATGCATGTCTCCCTCCTCCAGAGGGTTAACGGAGAACTGACTCATTTACAGCAAACCATTCAGGTTCATTATCTCATTCAGAATGTACAGGAAGTGATTCTTTCTGGCTGCTCTCATTGCATAGAGAAATGAACATGAGAACAGACAGAGGAGATGGAATAGAAGGTCTATAGAGAAAATACTGCCTAGTGAAACCCCTCTTTTATTAGTGCTGTGACTTGGAGCTCTAATGAACATGCTCGCCCACATGGGCCAGATAGGGGTCAAAGGTCACTTTGGCCCCCTTGTGTCTTTTTCACCATTTTATCACTAAGGCTTGTCTGTTAATTTTCTTTTAAAAAAGGAGCATTACTGCTTAATTAAAGTTGCTTTACTTTTATTGTTATTATTTGATTCTGTCTTTTGTCATCACTGATTTCTGAGCCTGAAATGGCTTTAAAGCTTGATCACACAAGCTGGTGGTTTTTCTTTTGCTAATTTGTAATGTGTAGTACACCTACTGCACCACTCAATCTGTGCTTTCATGTGTACATTTTGATATTGAGGTCAAAGGTTACAGAGGGATCCAGTTCTGTTTTGATAGCGTACAATAATCTCCCTCAATATACATGACGTGTGAGCTCAGTGTTTGGCAGGCTGGAACCAAAAGCCTCTTAAAAAGTGGCTTTTCATTTCAATTCAACCCTGATGGCTGTAGGAGTCTTCTTGAAAGATGAGTAAAAAGATTCTAATGTAAACATCTCTCTGATGTTATTTATTGAGGTTCATTGTTCTCAGTGTTCTTACTGATATTGTAATGCATTAAATGAAACTCACACTACACGAATCCTTCTGACTTAACTATAAACATGATGTAGTAGCATCAAGTAGTTAAGAGTTCTTGTTAAATTTAGATTTAGATTGAGGATTATGCTGTATAAAATTATTTTTCATCGTTGTAAATAAAACGAAAAGATACTTGTTAATTGTTAATAAAGTAGGTTTAACAAGAAAATTCTACTTATAAGTCTTTTAAGTAAATACTAATTCTTTCTACTTCAAAATTTGTAATATTGTAATATCAGGAGAGAAATGTGCACAAATCAAGCACGGTTTATAAGCGAAAACCGTTCTAAACAAATATGTTGGTGGATTTTGATTTGAGGGGACAACAGAGATGGACATTTTCACTGGAGGAAATGTTATGGATTATGGACTTGAATTTTGGCCAGAAGTGACAGTTAAAACACCCTAATGATGGACTTGTGTCTTGCATACACAGCTTTTCACACGTCATTTGCACACGCATAGCAGCCACAAAGGGGGCGCTCGCTAGCACCCTTCTAGAAGCTAGAATGACGAACGGGACAGGACACCCAACGGTCTCGTGGACTTAATGGACATGCACAAGCCATGGCCACTGTAAATTCACAACACCGCAAGTGCACATGAAGTGTGTCATTTGGGACCACAGATGTTTGGGACAGGGTCTATGTCAGTCATCCAGTGCCATGACTACGAAGTGTCACATGATCCCACATCTGACTTGAATCCACATCAACTGAATCTCGAAGAGAAAAGCATTTGCAAGCAAAAAGGGAAAGCGTCAGTAAGCGTAAGAAAGCATGCATCAACATAGTTAGAAATAGCATAGCATCACATTTGTATGGAAACTTGTTTCCACCACAGAATAAAAATAAAAAGCTAGGCTAATTGCAACTTTTTTTAATCTCGCAACTCCAAAATGATGAGATATAAATTCACATATCTGAGGAAAAAAAAGTCTAAATTGTGAGATATAAGTCGCAATTACCTTTTTAATTTTTTATCTTGTGGCAAAACAAAGTTTCATTCTAACCACAGGCGCAGCTGTGTGCCTTTTTGCCATCAGATTCATTCATGCAGAATAGCAGAGCCGAAGCACAGCTCAAGTAATTAACCAACCAAAAATGTTCCTCCACAAGTAACCAGTGGTTTTTCTTAAACCACTGGATTGGAAGTGTAAGTTTTAAGTAGAAAAATCACACCTACTCTGAGTGAGATGAGTGTATCTGTAAACAATGACAGACGAGAGAGCGAGAGAGATTTTAGAAAATTGTTTCTCTTATAAAAATATCAGTTTTAATTGCTTTTACCAACATCTTCTTACATAATCAAACTTACTTGTATCAAGAACCATCCAGGTTGCAAATACCTTGGAAATAACAGTATATATATATATATATTTTTTTTTATTATTTATTTGAGCAAAACTAAATGCAGGAGCACAGTCAGTGTCTACTCAACATCATCTGCGTTCTCCTTTCTCTTTTTAAGCAAGCGGGCTCATCCCAGACCATCTTGCAGTAGCATCTGTTCTCAACTTCGACCTAATTTCTGACCTCCCTTCATTCACGCCACCCATCTCTGCCTCACCCGTCTCACATGGCAAACTACTATCCATATTCAAGAATTGTCTAGTGAAGAAAGATTATTTGTGTTGCCTAAGACTTTATATTTTGTTTCTTTAAGTGTTTCCTGATAAAGAAGCAGTGAAGGTGAGATTCTTAAATGTGGCATTTGATCATCCTTTACATAAATTAGAGAAAACACAGCAATTGTAATCCTACAATACACTTCATGCAACACAGCAGGTCAGAAGAGAAAAGGCATCAAGCTTTTCATTTCATACAACTCCTGGGACCCGTTTCTCACTACATTTCTGACAGCAGTACATTTCACATTCAAAATGCACTAAAACGAACAAAACACCCCATATATGTCTCAAATCAACACATTCTTCCATAACACTAGTAAAGCTGGTCAACCAACAAACACTTTCTCACGCATAAAACAATGACCTAAAAAACCCACTAACATCAGGTAGAATTACACAATGATTTCTTTTCTTTCTTTCCAAAACAACGACAGCTCTCTACTGTTTAGAATTCACTGCAGTATATGTTACATGGTCCATGTTTACATTACAGTATAAAGTTATTCCCAAGTTGACCTGTTTTGTATAGATGATAATACCTAGTATTACCTTTAAATTACATACCAACTGTCTGGTCAATTGTTTATTCAATTTCTTTATACAATATTTTGTGTATTTCTAAAATCATTTTTAAAATTTCTTCTACTATCTCAAAAATGAAAAATAGTGCAGTTGATACAGTATGTCTTTTGTCACAAATTGCAATTGCAATGTCACGAATTGCACTTTTGAAATTTTGCACTGCATCTTTACAATTCCTCTTAAGGGTTTCTCAAAACACAGTGCTAAAACAGCAATGTAGATTTTCATCAGGTTCAACCAATTAACTTTTTTTAATGTTTAAAAAATTATGAATTCCACTTCCTGCAGCTCACACGTGAATATGCAGATTGTGCACTCATTAACACATAACACAATGCAACTACTCAACAAAGCAGATGGTCTCATATAATTAAGATATTCATTATCAATATTACATTGTTAGCAATTAGGCTTTTTGAAAGTCGAGCAATCTGCTACTAAAACAGAAATGTGTCTTGTTAAATTTTGGAATACTGCCTACCAGTATTTGTACTGGTAGCCTACCACTTTTATCATGTAGCCTACCACTTTTATCATGATTTTTATAATTTTTTCAAACTTGACATTTAATTTCACCATCAGCTTTATTGTATGGAAAAGCTGACTAAGCAGTAGGTTTGTCAATATTCAGACAAATCCTCTGCACAATCTGACCTGTGCTGCAGCCTGGAACTAAACAACACCATACTGGTTTCGTCTGGTCAGAGGAGAACTGGCCCCACGACTGAGCCTGGTTCTCCCAATGTTTTTTTTTTCTCCATATCTGTCACCGATGGAGTTTTGGTCCCTTGCCACTGTCGCCTTTGGCTTGCTTAGTTGGAGACACTTAATTTCTTAACAAAGATTGATTGCACAGACACTGTTGAAAGAGAGCTGAACAGAATGATGACATCACTGAATCATCAATGAACTGACTTTAGCTGAAAAAATGACTGAAAAATTATTGACAAACTTTTTTCCTTTTTGTCACTGTAAAGCTGCTTTGATACAATCTGTATATACTATAAAGTGCTATATAAATAAAGGTATAATATAATAATATTCAGACCAACAGCACGACTGCAAGTGTGCTATTGAGTATTAAAATTGCACGTTTCCGTCAACACAGTAGTTGTGGTGTTCTGTTTCTGAATTAATTAGTTTGAACAAATCATCTGGAGTGAATGATTCAATTAATCATTTGTAAAGAGAGTTACTCATTTTGTTCCTGAATGTGCTTGAGCTAATCGGTTAGAATGAATATTCAATGACTGTCAAAAATATCCCTGTCAGAATATCATGCTTCTTGCTGAGGCATGATTGCTACACTTAAAA